GGGGCTTGGCTGTGTTCTGATTGGGTGGGGGTGTGTTCTCATTGGTAAGGGGTTTGGCTGTGTTCTGATTGGTTGGGGGGTTAGCCGTGTTCTGATTGGTTGGAGGCATGTTCTGTTCAGGTGGGGGCTTGGTTGTGCTCAGGTTAGTCTTAGTTGCTGGGGGATTTGAGCTGGTGAGCTGTGATCTTGCTGTTTGGCTTCGAGTTCGTGGTCGTGCTGCATCTTCATAGTGGGTGTCGGTTTGCTTCATGTATGGCTCGGAGGGGTTTGAAGTGGGTAGTGATGCAGCTGCAGTGCAGCTTCTGGTCCATGGTCGTGTCTCATCTTCTGAGTGGGTGTGAGTCTGTTTTCTACATGGAAGTGTGGTGGTGGCATCTTGTGTGGCTCTCATGGGTGTGGGTCTGGTGTCCTTCTTCATGTTAGGTACTCGTCTGTTCATGAGGGCGGGTTTCCAAATGGCTGGAAGGCGGGAGGTGTCATCTCGTTTGTTCATGCTGTGTGGGCGTTTTTCTATCTCTATGGCTTCTCTGATTATTCTGCTGTTGAAGTGTTCGGTTTTGGCGATGGTTCTGGTATTTTTAAAATCAATTTCATGTCCTGTGGCTTTGAGGTGTTGGACGAGGGAAGAGGTCGTTTCTTCTTTTTTGATTGAGTTCTTATGTTCTTCAATGCGTGCACTTATTCTTCTGTTAGTTTGTCCAATGTATGTGGTAGGGCAGGCAGTGCAGGGGATTTCGTATACTCCTTGGTTTTCTAATTCGATTTTGTCTTTGGGGTTTCTTAGGATGGTGGATATTTTTCTGTTTGTGCAGAATGCTGTTTTGATGTTGTGTTTTTGGAGGATCTTGCTAATTTTGTCTGTAGTGCCTTTTATATATGGGAGGAGGGCTTTGCCGTTTTCCTGTTCTCTGTCTTGGATTTTGGTTGGGTTTCTTTTTGGATTAGGTGGGTAATCTTCTTTCTTTGGAATCCATTGGCTGTAAGTACATTGGTGAGAGTGTGTAGTTCGGTTTTTTGGTGTTGTTCATCGGCTAAGCATTTTGTTCTGGAGATGAGTGTCTTGGCTACGGAATTGATCTGTGCTGGGTGGTGGTGTGAGAGTGCATGTAGATAGCGGTTTGTATGTGTTTTCTTCTGGTAGATGGTGTGTCCTAGGGAGCCATTGGATCTTTTGTATACCAAGACATCTAGGAAAGGAAGTTGATTGTTGGCTTCTGTTTCCATGGTGAATTGTATTTTGGGGTGTAGGCTGTTGAGGTGTGTGAGGAAGTTGTTCAGTTTTTCTTTCCCGTGTGGCCAGATTATGAAGGTGTCATCTATGTATCTGAGCCAGAGTTTGGGTTTGTGGTCGTATTTTTCTAGAGCTTGTGTTTCAAAGTGTTCCATGTAGAGGTTTGCGATGACAGGTGAGAGGGGTGATCCCATGGGTGCTCCTTCTATTTGTTTGTATTTTTGTTCATTGTAGGTGAAGTATGTATTGGATAGGCAGTGGTTGGTCAGATCTAGGATGTGCTTGGGGGGGTTGTATTTGTTTCGGATGGCTGTCAAGGCTTCTTTTATTGGCACTTGGGTGAAGAGGGATATGACATCGAAGCTTACTAGTAGGTCGTTAGGTTGTAAGTTTTGTTTCTTTATGATCTCGATGAACTGGAATGAGTTTCTTACGTGTGAGTTGATGGATTCTGCATAGGGTTGTAGTTGTTTGGCAAGAAATTTGGCCAGGTTTTGTAGAGGTGAGCCTATGGAGCTGACTATTGGTCTGAGTGGGGTTCCTTCTTTGTGTATCTTGGGGAGACCATAAAGCTTGGGACATCTGGATGATTTCTCTCTGGGTATGATTCGTTGCTGGATTTCTTCACTGATGGGGGAGGCTTTTATTTTGGATTTGGTAGTTTTTTCTAGGTAGGTGGTGGGGTCTGTCTTTAGGGGTTTGTATGTGGGGTCTTGGAGTAGGTTGGTTAACTTGGTTTGGTAGTCAGATGTGTTCATAACCACTGTCGCATTGCCCTTGTCTGCTGGTAGGATTATTATGCTGGTGTCTTCTTTCAGGTTAAGTAGTGCAGTTTGTTCTTCTTTGGATAAGTTGCTTTTGGGTGGTTTGCTAGTGCAGAGGATGTTGGTGATTTCAAGTCTGATTTTGTTAGCATCATCAGGGTTGGTTCTGGTCAGGCTGGTTTCAACTCCGCATATGATGGTTTCTGTGGGGATGTGTTTGGGAGCGACAGCAAAGTTGAATCCTTTTGAAAGGACCTTGGTTTCAGCTTCAGTGAGGATCTTGTCTGAGATGTTGTGCACTGTTTGTTTCATGTGTGGCTGTGGGGGGGGGGAGGAGTTGGTTTCTGGCGTTGTTGTAGTTTCCTGAGTTTGTTGGTGTGTGTGTCTGTCTTGAGGGTGGTCTGTGTGTCTGGAGATCCACATACAAATACCCGCGAGAACCTCAGAAAACACACACACACACACACACACACATATATATATATGTGTGTGTGTGTGTGTGTGTGTGTGTGTGTGTGTGTGTGTCATCCACTGACTAACTTCACTTGGGTATGTCACCCCAACCTCCTTTTTGCTATCAGAGATCTTCAGGAACTTCTTCTTCTGCAGCTGGCAAGGCTTGGGTGGGAGTGGGTGGGATCTTAATTAGAGCTTATTTTGGGGATAGGGCTTATATTGGGTGCACATGTAAAAATCAAGCTAGGGCTTACATTCAGAGTAGGTCATATTTTTGGGAGAACAGGATATATTCCGCTTCATAGTGCTTTACAGCCTTCTCTAAGCGGTTTACAAAGTCAGCATATTGCCCCCACAAATTGGGTCCTCATTTTATCCACCTTGGAAGGATGGAGGGCTGAGTCAACCTTGAGTCTGGTGAGATTTGAATTGCCAAATTGCAGGCAACTAGCAGTCGGCAGAAGTAGCTTGCAGTACTGCACTCTAACCACTGTGCCACTGCAGCTCATATATGCTGTTCAGAATATTGCAGTGTAAATTCAGTGTCAGAAAAGTAAAGACAGATGGCTGAGGCTTCTTTATAAACATAAAGTAAATTTTACAATACCAGTTGTAGATTTCTCCAAGGTTACAGGTTACAGGTTCAGAGCTTAACAGCAACTTAGGAACTCAGAAACAGACATCAGTTTCACTTTAGTTCAGCAGACAGGCAAGATACACAGCAAAGAAGAGAAGCAGTTTCATTTCAGTAGACAGACTCAGAGCTTAACATAGCTAGGCTACTTCTAGTTTCAGTTTCCAAACAGTTCTCATTGGCTGACTTAGTTGCTATGCCTATTCATTGGCTGACCTTGTTACCATGCTCTATTCCAGTTCATGAATATACTCTGACATATACCTAACAGTTAGGCCAATTTGTGCTGTACTCTGAAAAGATTTCTGTCCTTAGGTCAGCAATAATAAAGAAACTACTCTGAGTAATTGTTCATGTCATTCTTGCTTCCTTGAATCTTGCAGGATAATAATAGGAGGTTTTTCAGGAGGCAACTGGACTTTCTTGCTTTTTTTCTGAAGACATTTTGCTTTTCATCCAAGAAGCTTCTTCAGCTCTGATGGGATAGTGGGGAATGGAAGGATTTATATACTCCTTGCAGACAGCTGGTCATTTGCATCCTTTTTTTTATAGAGAGTTGTTGAAGCACTTGGAGGTTTATCTGTATCCTCAGCATCATCTGAGTAGTGCTCCTAGTTCCTGGAAGCTTGTTGGATAAGAAGCAAATCATTTTCAAAAAAACAAAAAACAAACAAGGAAGTCCAGTAGCCTCCTGAAAAAGCATCTTTGGGACAACCATGACCTGAATGACTGAGAATCTCTACAGATGATTATAACAGGACTCCCTTGAATTTATCCCTAGGAAATGAAAGTGGAATTACTTAAATCCCATTTTTTCTGTCACTCAATTTTAAAGATAGCTATAAGTAAACCATGACACATGCACAAATGACTATAATAGGCTTTAACAAGACAGACAAAAATGGGGCACATGTTTCCATATTGACATCATGGTGGCTTGTAATGGACACCTAGCGTCTGAGAAACTAGGTTCCAAAGAAAAATAAGCCATGCCATGGCTTAGCATATTTTTTTCATTTGACTGCAAAGAATTAATTTTCAATCCCACATTGTTTGAGTGGTACAGTGGCCTCGAGGACAAGTTCTTGCCCAATCAGGAAGTTGTGAGTTCAATCCTAGGTAGAGGCAGCTATTTCTCTCTCTGGACATGTTGAGAATATATATGCTAAATAGAACTCAGCATTGGTGACAGGAAGGGTATCTGGCCAGTAAACACTAAACACTCAGTTCTGTTCAGTTGCCCAGACTTCACACCACAAGGGATTATGGGGTTGTTAAAAAAAGATGATGATTATTTTCTCATTGTTCTTTGTACTTGTTCCAGTGCCTCAGAATACTTCTCATATTTTTAGTGATCATCATGGGCCATCTTACTTTCACAGTTGAAAAATGCCTCTTAAAAGCTGTTATGTAAAGCAATGATCTTGCAAAGTTGAAATGAAACTCCTGGGTTGTTTCATATTGCTCCCTTTAACAGTTCCTCTCAGTCTTATAGCAACAGCACTTAGACTTAAAAACTGCTTCACTGTGCTTTTACAGCCCTCTCTAAGTAGTTTACAGAATCAGCCTATTGCCTCCCAAACAATCTGGGTCCTCATTTTAGCAACCTTGGAAGGATGGAAAGCTGAGTCAACCCTGAGCCTGGTGAAATTCGAACTGCCAAATTGCAGGCAGCTGGTGGTCAGCAGAAGTAGCCTGCAGTACTGCACTCTGATGGCACATCCTGCAAAAGTGTTAGCAAGCATGATGGCTTCAGCCTATGCCAAAGAATCCATCCTGCCACACACCCCATGGTGACAACTAGGTACATGTTGAAGGTATTCCAGGATTGGAGAGGGTTCCAACCATAGATTCCATAGATTCCAACACCTGTGTCAAAGCCACCCAACACTGAAGGCTTTCAGCCAACCTTATCCCTAATCCCACCATTAAACCATGACAAGTTGCACATGTCAGAACTATCAGGTTCCACAAGAGAGACTAAAATGGGACACAATACATCATTCTCTCCTTACCAATTTGATACACAAGAAGAAACTCTGAAGAGCTTTACATGGAATCTGTGCCTGACCACAAAGGTGTTTTCACCAGAAGTTATTACCTTCCAGATGTCTTGATCTTGAAGTTCATCCATTCTACTTTCTGTTACTCTTTTGTATTTAGACTTATGTAAGTTCATGCCATGAACAGCATGTGCCACCGCATAGACTGCATTGTAGATACTGTAGCTGTGGCCGGTCATTTCAAATAAATACCCAGGAAGATTTTTGGGCTCTTCCATCCCAGTGCATGCTTCACCACTTTCCACTGGTTGATTGTTCTCTGAAAAAATACAATCAAAGCTCTGTTCCCAGAATTCTTTGAACAGCCTAGCTTGTTTCATCTGTAATGGTTTGAAGGCCCAGAGGAATGCGTCGAACCCTGGCAGTTCACTAGAGTGAATAGCAAAGGAAATCGCTCCATCAAACATTTGCAAATCTGAGGGCCGATGGAGACTGGTTAAAGTTAAATCCATCTGAGCAGTCAAAATCCACATTTTTCCACGGCTGTTCTCGATATATCTCATGAACAGAAACAGAAGCATTGCTGTGATGCTTTCCCCATTGAAAATGAATGTGTTGACTTTGAGGTCATTCAAATAAATATTTATAGACTGCACTATCTCACCTTGAAACATAGAAAAAAATGATTGCTTGGGAAACCTCTCCACAAAAGCATAGCAGATCTTGTTCTCAGAAAGAAGTGGGTCCAGGGCTTGGAGAAAATTGTCTCCACTGTCATCATCCAGAATTAAAAGGCCAATCCACGTCCATCCAAAGTGCTTCAGCAAATGAATAATCCCTGCAATCTGAAGGGATTCATTGGGAGCCATGCGGTAAAAGGAAGTAGACGTCTTTGTTCCATGTTTCTTGGGAGCAAATGAGCCATAAGCGAGCTATAATAAAATGTGCAGTTAGTTGATTATAACTGGAATATCTCTACTAACTTGAGAAATATATTTTCTTATATACAATGCATACATTTTTTTTTCAAGCTCTTTTCTTCTGCGGGCTTCCATTTTCAAATCTAAATAAAGCTCTGATCATTGTGATTACTATGCACTAAATGCTAAATAAATGGAATATTGCCTTATTTACCTCTTTGTTCAATTAATATAAGCAACCCCAAAAGTTTGGCTGAGAAAAGACATAGGTTCTGTGATGAGCATACACTAGCTTACATTAGGAATTTACATTCTGCAATGTTATTCAGTAGATATGATATAATTCTAATTCCCAGTTTGGATTAGCCCCTTTTGATATATCTCTGAAGTTGAATCTAATGTTTATTTGAGTCCATTTAAAACATCAAGCATCCTAATCAATCAGATTGATTTTGGGGAAACAGGTTATGAAGAAAACATATTGTAGTCCCATTTTCACAGGTGGATAGGAATATGTCTAGCTTAATGAAAAGAAAGGCTAGGGGTGACATATAACAATGTTATAATATCTAAGGGGCTGCCACAAATAAGAGTGGTTCAACCAATTCTCCAAAGCACCTAAAGGCAGGACAAAAAGCAGTGGATGGAAACTAATCAAGGAGAGAAGCAGAACAGAATAACAGAGTTGGAAGGGACTTTGGGGGTCTCCTAGTGCAACCTACTGCTCAGACAGAAAACCCTATAGCATTTCAGACAAATGCTTGTCCAATCTCTTCTTAAAAACTTCTGCAGTTGGAGCATTCACCACTTTTGGGAGGAAAGTTGTTCCAAGCAATCTAGAACTAAAGAGAAATCTGACAGTAAGAATAACTTTCCAGTGGGACAGGTTGCCTCCAGAAGTTGTGAATGCTCCAACACAGGAAGTTTTTAAGAAGATATTAGCCATTTTCTGGAATTATATAGGGTCTCCTGTGTGAGCAGGGGTTGAACTAGACTTCCCAAATCCCTTTCAATTCTGTTATTCTTGATTTCTGCTCTATCCCCTCACTAGAGGGGATGATAATTGTCTCCTGTTCCCTTCAATTTTGCCCTATGGACAGGTTTTCATACATATCAATACTTACATCTTACCTGTGAGATTTTATAAAGGCTTAAGATATTAGACATGAAGAATGAGATATCAGCACCAAATCCTCCAATAATGGCCACAACGAGATTCTCCTTGATGTCACATTTGTAGTTGGCAAACAACTGATCTGATCGGAATAGCAATTCCAAAGTGGAATGGTAAGTCAGCCGGGCATCAAAATAGTTGTCGCAGATGAAAAATCCCAGGGTAACATTTGATAAGAGTTTTGGATTTGAGTTGATCTGTTTCACAGCAAATGCTAAACTCAGAGAATGCTGATAAAATTTTAAAACAGCCCTGGAAACATAATTGAGGGCTAAGTGAAATACTGAGGATTGAAGCAAGACAAATGCATTGTGTGAAGCAACAATAACCACACTATGAAACCTTCGCATTGTGATGAGCATCAAATATAAAGACCAATGAGGAACATTTGTTAAATCATGAAACTTAACAACTGAACTAGCTTGCCAGAAACAATGATATGCAGTTTAATTGTAGAGATGGAAAACAGGAAGTTGATGATGATGATTAAAGCAAGATTCAGGTAAAGACTGATTGAATTCTTTGAGTTCACTCTTACAGTGCATTATTTGCTCCTACTAAATCTTGCTTCTTGTTCCCACTTCTCCTCTTATAACATTCATTATATTGATTTGCTGTTCTTGCTGACTTTAAATCTAATTATACAGATCTCACATCTGCTAATACTTTTAGTGAATATCAGTGACAAGTCAAACAAACCCACTTACTTTGGATTGGCCATGCCTCGCAGAGTTCCTTCTACTTAAGGAGAAACTTTCAGATCCCAACAGCCTCAAGGCAGATTTGCAATAAATTCATTCCATGATTTTATTCTAAAATGGATTTCCATCAAGATATCTTAAAATAGACTACTTCCCTAAAATGCTAAGGAAGCTGTATGATTGATTGGTTTTTAATGTATTGCTTTCTCCTACCAGGTATCTCTTTGAAGGATTGGCACTGCAACTCATTTTGTTCCTCTGGCAATCTCAAAACATCTGCATAGAAGGTTTTTGATAATTTTATGCAAGGGCTGATTCAGAGGATAGGAAATCACTATCACTTCCCAGTGCCACACAAAAGAGATCTAAACAATAGGATTGCATTTATCAAGAGAAATCCTTGTAAACTACTGTTTTATTGTATGAGATTTTATAGATCAGCCATCTTGATCCACAAAAACATATGCAATAATAAAATTGGGGATTCTTGAAATGTCAAGACTCTTTGAGGCTGAAAATGCTATCTATGCTCCAGTAACTCTGATTACAAATAGAGTTGGTAAAATATTGGTGTCAAAGCTGCAATATTCTGTGCTTAATCTATTAAAAATAGGATTGAGTTTCTGAGCCTTCTGAAACTGAATATCCTGCAGTTTCAAATCACATATGGAAAACAAAAAGGAAAAGAGAATTTCTTACAATGGTGGCATAGATGATTTCTGTGAAGGATGCTCATTGAAGGAAAGTTCCTCCAGTACATATACAATCTGAGCTGTGATCCCACCAATGAGGAGGTTTCCTGGCTTATACCATTCATGAAGAATAGGAGAGGGATCACTTCTGGGGCAGGACGTTGCATCAGTCTGACTTTTCAGGTCAGTCAGCAACCATAGTAGGAACAATACGCTCAACATTTTTTTTAGAGGAGGTTCTTTGTACCCATTCACAATCCCAACACTGCATATGGTAGGACTATTTTCCATCAGTTACAAAATCTGGGAACACATACAAGTAACTATATTATTTCACTCATTCCCCTGACTGACACCAAGAAGTTTAGCAAAGCATATCCCAATGAACAAGCACATTCCAGTCAATGGAAATCATTGGAATTCAAAGAGGCAATATCCTATCTGCTTCTGTTTCACCAACCACAGAAGTGGAAAGTTTTATAACCTCATCCACATTGACTTATAAATTATTTCTCAATATTTTTTTTGACAGCTGTTGGAACAGTTGCATGAAGCACCAACGAGACTCATTTAACTTAATTGCCAATAAACAGTCACCTCTGCCTAATGTCACCTCCTGGGTTTGAAGAGCTATTAATTCACCACACTACATTCTCTTCTCCCTATATACCAATGACTGCATCTCAAACAATCCATCTGTTAAAATACTGAAGTTTGCTGATGACACAACAGTGATTAGTCTCATTCGAGACAACGATGAATCTGCATACAGACAGGAGGTTATACAACTGGCCTTGTGGTGTAACCAGAACAATCTGGAACTGAACACACTCAAGACTGTAGAAATGGTGGTAGACTTCAGAAGAAACCCTCCCACACTACCACCTTTTACAATACTAGACAACACAGTATCAACAGTAGAGACTTTCAAATTTCTAGGTTCTACTATATCACATGACCTAAAATGGACATCTAACACCAAAAACATAATCAAAAAAGCACAACAAAGAATGTTCTTTCTGAGCCAACTCCGAAAGCTCAAACTGCCCAAGGAGCTGCTGATACAGTTCTACAGCAGAATTATTGAGTCTATCATCTGCACCTCTATAACTGTTTGGTTTGGTTCTGCAACCCAATTGGAAAGACCCAGACTTCAGAGGATAATTAGGACTGCAGAAAAAACAATTACTACCAACCTGCCTTCAACTGAGGACCTGTATACTGCATGAGTCAAAAAGAAGACTGTGAAAATATCTACAGACCCCTCACATCCCGGACATAAACTGTTGCAACTCCTTCCCTCAAAACGATACTATAGAACACTGCACCCCAGAACAACTAGATGCAAGAACAGTTTTTTTCCCGAAAGCCATCACCCTGCTAAACAAATAATTCCTTCAACTCTGTTCAACTATTTACAAAGTGTACATTACTATTACTGTTAATCTTCTCATCACTCCTTATCACCCATCCCCTCCCACTGTGATTGTAGGACTGTAACTTTGTTGCTTGTATCTTTATGATTTATATTGACTGTTTCCTAGTATGATTTGATTGTTGATTGTACCCTATGACTATCATTAAATGTTGTACGTTATGATTCTTGATTCTTAATTAATGTACCTTTTCTTTATGTATACTGAGAGTATTTACACCAAGACAAATCCCTTGTGTCAAATCACACTTGGCCAATAAAGTATTCTATTCTATTCTATTCTATTCTATTCTATTCTATTCTATTCTATTCTATTCTATATGTTACATCTTTGGAGACAACTGGTTTTTTTTTTTTTTTTTTTGGCTTTTCATGGAGGTAGCACATAAAGGAATCATATACTCTAGGGGTTCCTTATTCTTTTATACAAATATTGATATGATGTACAAGATCAGTCCATGGGCAATATTTGCATATCCTGGTGGACCATTCTCTTAGCTATCTGGTTTTTTTTTTCCTCTTGAAAACCTGTCACAGCTTTTCTCTAAGGACTTGAGCTAACATTCATGCTACTTTCCCTTTGTAGAAAATTAACACCCATGCCTCCTAGAAGAATGAAATATTTTAGGAAATAACAAAGCTTGGATTTTTTTCTTTCGTTCTTGCAGACATTTCATTACCCAAACCAAGGAACATCATCAGTGCACTAGCAATGTCTCCAAGAAAACAACCAAGCTCAGAGGGCATCAAGGAGCCCTCATTTCAAATGTGATGTGATAATAATCAAAAAAGCGACAGGAGACCAGGAACGATAAAGAGCTTCTTTATTTAGCATTTGCAAAGGCTAGGACCCCTTCTCCCTCAAAGGAGAAAGATAGGAGACCCCCTCCCCCCCCAGACATGTTGGAGATTTTTATACACTTCTGCATACAAGATTGTGTTAACATCACCTTATCCTGTTTCCCACTTACTGGGTACTTTTCCAGTAACCACCACCCACTCATATATCTCATTTTCAGAAAACTTGATCTCTTATGGCATATGCTATACCCTGTTTGGCAGATTATCTATTCTAGGATACTGGTATTAACATCAGCATTTCTTAATTTTATCATATAATAACACATTAAACAGTGTGTACTGCCAGGTTGGTGACCTGCCAGAAATTCAACATGTTACAAAGGGCAAAACAACCTTGTTTTGGGGATTAATAAAACATTTATATAATCATTACTTAATATTCCAGTAATATTGCCATAAGCCATTGATAACATAAATATGACGTTACTGATGTTTTCTTATTTTCACAGGCATAATCCTTAATATGCAATTTTACATATCACACCTGAGCTACAAATATACTCCTTTATTGATTCTGATATCCTTTTAACTCAATTACTTCAAGTAGAATCTAGGTTTATTTCCCTTTGTTGCTTGATTTTAAATAAGTCCAAACAACATTACTCAGAAGTTTGATCATGGTTAACCATTAACAAACAGCAGATCTCTTTTAAAGAAGACCTAATTATTCTTTTCAGTAAATGCATCCTGTAAATAATCAGAACTAAAATAAAATACTTCATTAAAAGCAAAGTCACTCATGAAACAATGAAAGATTTTATTTTCCATATCCATTCATAAGAATTTGATATACTGTTATATATGCCAAGGATATACAATATCAATAAAATTGGCAGAACCAATAAACATGTCCCATTTTATTCATAGAAGAGGATTACTTATTCAATACATCAATCCATGGTGGTGTGGTGGTTAGAATGAAGTACTGCAGGCTACTCCTTCTGACTGCTGGCTGAGTGCAATTTGGCAGTTCAAATCTCACCAGGCTCAAGTAGACTTGGCCTTTCATCTTTCCAAGGTCAGTAAAATGAGGGCCCAGATTGTTGGGGGCAATATGCTAACTCTGTAAACTGCTTAGAGATAGCTGTAAAGCACTGTAAAATGGTATATAAGTCTAAGTGCTATTGCTATTGCTAACCCATAATTTAATAATCAAAAATGCTTTTTCTTCACAAGTTGTTCTTTGCTGTTCAGCTCAGGCCTCAGTAAAATAATGTAGCATTTGGGAAAAAAGATACATCCCAATAACCCAACACTAGAAGTTAAGATGGAGAAGATCTCCACAGCTACCATATACTTTCCCTTGGTGCTCAAATACGTTGGAACAAAAGACAACCAAACACTGCAAAACATCAACATGCTAAAAGTGATGAACTTGGCTTCATTGAATGTGCCTGGCAGGTTCCTAGCCAGGAAAGCCACGATGAAGCTGACCAGAGACAGAAACCCCATATAGCCCAAGACAAGGTAAAACATCACAACAGACCCTTCATTACATTCTGAGATAATCTCTTCAGTCATGGATCTCATGTTAAGTTCTGGAAAGGGGGGAGAAGTGATCATCCACATCAGACAAATGGCTGCTTGAATGAAGGAGCAAAAGAAAATAATTAAGATGGACAGTCTTTTCCCCAACCATTTCCTCATGCTGGATCCTGGTTTGGTGGCCATGAATGCTGCAATGACCATGATGGTTTTGGCCAATACTGAAGAAATGGCCACTGAGAAGATAACCCCAAAGACAGTTTGTCTGAGGATGCAAATCAGTTGTGAAGCTTTTCCAAGGAAAAGAAAAGAGCAGAGGAAGCAAAGCAGAAGGGAGATTAGGAGAGTGTAGGTGAGGTCCTTGTTGTTAGCTTTAACAACAGGAGTGTCTTTATACTTGATAAATATTCCAAGTATTAACATGGTAATGATTGAAAATAAAGTAGTAATCACAACTAAGCTGATCCCTAAAGGTTCTTCAAAAGTTAGAAATATTATTGATTTGTGGATGCATCGAACTTTGTCCTTACTTGGAAATTGATCTTCTGGACATTCAGAACAGGCAATTGTGTCTGTAAATAAGAGACATACTATAACCTCTGTGGATGCATTAGAAACAAAGACATACTTGTTCCTCCCCATCCTTAGCATCACAAAATAGGCCTTAATAGAAGCATTATCCTAACCTTCATCCTCTGCAAAGGGCCTCCTATGTTCTGTATCTCTCTTATCCAAATTTATCTCTCCCAGCTCCTCTGTAACCCAAGCAAAGTCCTGAATCCCTGAGATAAGAGAAGTTTTATGAGCATGAGGCAATCCAGTGCCTGTATCGGACATTTTTTTTCTTCATTTTAGGAATTACTTTAAAGCTTTTTACTCTAGTTTTATCCAATTTTACAGTATGTGTATTCTTTGTAAAGTCTTTCAACATGTGGATTGGAATAAATGAAATAGAGAAATTGGGTATACATTTAAATAAAATTAATTTACCATCTGGTCAATTAAGCAGTGAAAAACTCTAATATATCACACAATACAGTTGAACAGATAGGGTGGAGTAGAATGGAATAAGGTAAAGTTGAATAAGGCAGAGTAGAGTAGAGTAGAGTAGAGTAGAATATGGTAGAGTAGAATAAGGTAAAGTTGAATAAGGTAGAGTAGAGTAGATAGAGTAGAGAAGAGTAGAGTATGGTAGAGTGGAAAAAGGTAAAGTTGAATAAGGTAGAGTAGAGCAAAGAAGAGTAAACCTGAGAATAATTTACCTGACATATTTGACATCTTCCCAGCAGAACATGGATCACAATCATAGCAGCAAAATTTCTTGCCTTCTTTCTTTTTCTTCTGATAGCCAGCAGGACAGAGATCATTACACACTGAACGGGGCAAAACCTGTTGATAAACCAGGAATTCAGCACTGAAGACTTGAATAATACTGAACAGTCATCCTCTAATCTACCTGAACAAATAGAGTAATAGAGGTCCTAAGATCATGAAATAAAATGCCACACTTGGAAATCTCTACAATACTTCCTAAATATTGCATATGGTTACATCCAAATTATTCCTTCTTTTCCCCTCTCAGGATCAAATGAAGGAAATGAAAATGTGGTTTAAATTATTTAAATTAATTAATAAGTGATATGATACTTATTACTTAGCTTAGTACAAGAAAAAAAACCAATAAATAAATCACCACATTAAGCATATCTCTGAGTTCCAGCTCTATGGATTAAACTTTCATCCTGGTCTCATTTTTACACTATTGTTCATATAATGAAGTCTGATGTTTTGCTGTATCAACCCCAATGAGGCTAGAATCTTTTGTCATCTCACTGATTCTCAAACTTTTTATTCCTCAATATTATTTTATAGTTTACTTGTGTCCAGGATAATAGTAATGTTCCCCATTCCCTCCCCCCTCCAAAATCCTTGTTATTTACCAATTATAATTCCCTCAGAGCAGGAAAGAATAGTCATACTTTAAGTTCAGAATGGTTAATTTTAAGTGATTAAAGCAGATGAAAGGCTATACAATTAAACCCATCTCTGATCTCCCAATCTTCCATCCAAAACAATAAAATACCTCAAAATCCATACCTGCTTAAAATCTTTGTGCCAAACAATTAAATCTTCATGAATGACAAATTCATTTCCTGCAAGTGTTTTGGGATCCAGCTTTCCGATTTTCACTTTGTGGTAGGAGTTGTTTGGAAACATGATCACTTTTGTAATATCAAATCCAGAAAGCACTTCTCCATGTTGATTGATGGACACAGTTTCTCCAAATGAATTATTGAACGAAAGACCTTGGAGAAACCAGTGAAGCTAAATTTAAACAAAAAAAGTAAAAATGGGTGGAGTGGGGCCAGCCAGTGGAGCGATTTGCCAGTTCTCCGAACTGCACAGAATCATAACAACCAGTTCTATAGAACCAGACTGATCAGGTAGAATCCCACCCCTGGTATCAACATTCAACACCAACCTCTTTGCAGAAGTGAATAAGTCCATTTCCACCACTGCCTCCTTTGAAAAGAGTAAGAAGCTCAGTATGCTTTTATATAATACTAATCTACTTCTGCCAATAAAGGTTTTGCTTCATAAGTTATTACCTTCCAGGTGCTTTGATTTTGAAGCTCATCCATTCTAATTTTTGTTACTCTTTTGAGTTTAGACTTAAGTGCATTCATCTCATGAACAGCATGCGCTACAGCATAGACTGCATTGTAGATACTGTAACTGTGACCAGTCATTTCAAATAAATGTCTAGGAAGATTTTTTAAATCTTCCCTCCCAGTACATGCTTCATCTCCTTCCACTGGTTTATTATTCTCTGAAAAGACACAATCAAAGCCTTGCTCCCAGAACTCTTTCAATAAACTATCTCGTTGGGTCTGGAATGGTTTGAGGGCCCAAAGAAATTTGTCAAAGCCTGGAACTTCATTGGAGTGAATACCAAAGGAAATAGCTCCATTGAACAATTGCAAATCAGAAGGTTGATGCAGACTAGTTAATGTTAAATCCATTTGAGCTGTCAGAATCCAGACTTTTCCAAGGATCATGTACGTATATTTGAGGAAGAGAAACATAAGCATTGCTGTGAAGCTTTCGCCATAGAAGACGAATGTATTGATTTTAGTTTCCCGCAAATAAACATTTATCCTACCCACCACAGAACCATGAAACATAGAAAAAAATGCTTGTTTGGGAATTCTCTCCATAAAAGCAGAGCAGATCTTGTTCTCAGAAAGAAGTGGGTCCAGAGCCTCAATGAAATTGTCTCCACTGTCATCATTCAGAATTAAAAGGCCAACCCAGGTCCATCCAAAATGCTTCAACAAATGGATAATTCCCAAAGTCTGAAGAATTTCATTGGGAGCCATGTGATAAAAGGAAGCAGCCATCTTTGTTCCATGCTTCTTGGGAGCAAATGAGCCATAGGCAAGCTGCAATAAAATGGGAGTTGATTTGTTATGATTGGAATGTATGCCTTATATATTTCTTCAATTCTTTTCATCAGGGGCTCAAGAAGATAGGAACAGCAGTGTAAGCAATCCATATGTTTGGCAAAGAGATGGTAATGGGCAAAGTTACCCCTTCATTCCCATCACTTGAGGATGAATTTATACATGGGTAGGATTTAACCGGTGTAACAACCTATTTGGTAAGTGTGTGTTTCACCCAGCATTTGCAACTCACCTTCTGCTGCAAGTCCTGTGTGTAAAACAGCTGGTGCGCAGCAATCCACTGTGGTGTACAAAGCAGCTCAGCTGGAAAATCCAGAAATAAAGCACAGACTAGAGCCAGGGTGGCGGGTGGGCCCAACAGCTAATTGTTGGAGCAAACTGGTTTACTCCAGTTTATCTTCAAAGGTACTGATTTACCCAAACCAGGCCAAATCGATTGAGTCCCACTCCTGAGCTTATACTAAATGAACACCTAAAGATCTCCAGCTTCTCCTTGCTTTTTCAGACACCATTTTAAACAAACTATTTTCAATGTGGTGCATTAGATATGGCTAAATTCCAATTCCCCAACTTCACTAGGTCCTATTGATGCACCACTGAAGGACAAGCCAACCGCTACTTGGTAATCTATCATTTCCTGTTCCCTTCGATTTTGCACTAGGGGTGAGACATACATGTCAATACCTTACATCTTACCTGAGGGATTTTGTAAAGACTGATGATATTTGACATGAAGAATGAGATATCAGCACCAAATCCACCAATGATGGCCACAATGAGATTCTCCTTGACACCACACCTGTAGTTGACAACCAACTGATCTGATCGGAATAGCAGCTCCAAAGTGGAACGGTAAGTCAGCCGGGCATCAAAATAGTTATCACAGATGAAAAATCCCAGGGTAACATTAGACAAGAGTTTGGGGTTTGAGTTAATCTGTTTCACTGCAAATGCCAAACTCAGGGAATGCTGATACAACTTCAAAACGGCTCTGGCAACATAATTGAGGGATAAGTGAAATGTAGAGGGATTGATGCAAGTGGAATAGCAATAGCACTTAGACTTATATACCACTTTACAGTGCTTTACAACCTTCTTTAATCAGTTTACAGAGTCAGCATATTGTGCCTCCAACATTCTGGGTCCTCATTTTACCAACTTTGAAAGGATGGAAGGATGGGTCAACTTTGAGCCTGGTGAGATTTGATCTGCCAAATTGCAGGCAGCCAGCAGGCAGCAGGCAGAAAATGTAGCCTGTAGTACTGTGTTCTAATCATTCTGCCACCATGGTTCATATGTTCAGTGAAGCAACAATGACAACAGAAATGTATTAATTGTAATAGGCATCAGATGTAAAGACCAAAAAAGTATGCGCTATGATATGCAATTCAATTGTAGAACTTATTGAAATCTTCCCAAAAAGTAGAAAAAGGCAGATATTATTGTTTGATAGCATTGAAGGCATTATGATTTTATTCAGCTTTCTCTCCTTTTCTTGTGTCTTCAGGTACTGCAACATCCATTATCCAGACATTTTTATATTTCTAATTGATGATAATTAGGTCTGGGATGTTATGTTTGTTATTATTAATGCAAGATCCAGTGGAAGTCTGATTGAATTATGTTAGTTCATCCCCATTGTTTGTTTGTTCCTGCTAAATCTGACCTCTTGTTCCCCCTTCTCTTCACATAATTTTCATTACATTGGTTTTTCCTTTTTGCAATCCTTAAATGTAATTACATAGTTGTCTCTTCTGATGATATTTTGGTGAACATATGTGACAAGGCAAGCAAGCTCTCTTACCTTGATAAGATTAAGATTAGATTAACAGAGTTGGAAGGGACCTTGTAGGTCATCTAGTCCAAGTCTATCACCCAAGCAGGAGACCCTACATCATTTCTGACAGATGGCAGTCCAGTTTCTTCTTGAAAGCCTCCAGTGATGAAGCTCCCACAACTTCCAGAGGCAACTTCTGTTCTGTTGATTGTTCTCACTGTCAGAAAATTTATCTTTATTCTAGGTTGAATCTCTCCTTGATCAGTTTCCATCTATTATTCCTTGTCTGGCCTTCTGGTGCTTTAGAAAATAGCTTGACCCCCTCTTCTCTGTGGCAGCCCCTCAGATATTGGAAGAGTGCTATCATTTCAAATCTATCGAACAGCAACACTTCCTCTTTAAAACAAAAACAAAGAAAAACAAAACAAAAATGGGGCTTTAAGGAAAAACAAAGGAACTTTACACAACAAACCTCCAATACTTTACTACCTCCACTATTTCAATACCTCGAGACCAAATATTTATAGATAATGCTTTGTCTATAATAATTGATTTATCATATAATAGTATAATAATTAATTGTTAAATGACCACTAATTTACTGATTCATTGAACTGATAGAGAATTAATACTGTATTATTTATTATCTACTCTATTGATTGATTGATTCTTAGTAATAAGTTGATTGATTGATTTTTAGTAATAAGTAAGCTTACTTTTGATTTGTTCTCTAACTTATCAATTAACATTTATTAATTACCAACATTCATTAAATAACTGTCTACCTATCACATTAATTAGCTATTGTAATTGTTTAGTGTACTATTGTCATTGACCATGCCAGCCAGAAACTCCAGAAACTCTAAATCCTCCACTACCAAACAACAACAAAATAATATCTCTACCAATGACCTCCCAGACTCCTGTACATGCTTCAGATGTCTTAAAACCACCAATGAAAGCGAAAATAACATCAAATGCTACCTGTGACAATCAAGCCCACCTTGCCAGCTTAAGCTTAAACAAAGACATAGCTGATCTCCTAAAAGCATCAGATACTTTCCCTTGTCTATGTCCATCATATTTTCCTAAGCTAAACAAACCAAGCATTCTGCCTGACAGAGTTGATAGCATAGAATGACTCGTGCACTCAAAAACGCTTAGCAACACGTTTTGAAACAATTATACAAGAAAGCCTAATTTCTCTTGAAAAAAAAATACAACAGTGATAAGCGACTACCTCTCAGCTCAAAATCAAATCCCAACCCAACAACCACTACCACAACTACTACCCCAACTACAATCACAACTACAATCAAAAATAACCACCAAACTACAACCACAGATAATTACTACCCCATTAAATAATTCCACAAATGATATCTCCTTACTCATCAGAGACACCATAGAACATGATCAGAAACATCCAAATGCCATCTTATTTGGTCTTGAAGACACCAAAGTTCGTAATATCATAAGCAACTCAAATACAACAAACATCTCACCTGAAGATATCATTGAAATAACCAGAGATGGCCCTGAGTTCAAATACAATGATGGCTCGGTGGCCCCAAAATTTTGTAGAGTTGTTTGCAAAAATGAGTCCAGCAAACACATATTCATTCATACAATAAACGCCGTTGCACAAACCAATCCCAACCACAAAAAACTTCACTCAAGACCAGACTTATCCATACAGCAAAGAATCCGCTCCCGTGAACTCTGCGAAGAACTCAAAAGATGTCTAGACAATGGAGAGAAGGATCTCTACATTGACTACCATGTTGATTGTATCAAAAGTAAGTCACACAGCCCACAACTCCACATCCAACCCTACCTCATCCAATGCACCATCACTCAAAATTAGGCATGCATGCCCCTAACTACCTCAATTTGAACTATAACTGGCCTTAAGTGCAAGTTACTCAATGCAAGAAGCCTTGTGAATAAAATACCTGAATTTCTCCTCTTGCTAAATATGGCTAAATTTGACATCATATTTGTCTGTGAAACATGGCTCAATGCATCTCTCCCTGACTCCATTACCACAGTAAGAGACTATCATGTTTACCGATCAGATCGTGAAATCCATAGAGGAGGTGGTGTTGCTATCTTCTATAAAAAGTCCTTACATTTAAAAAACATCCAAGTTACCCAAGAGCTTGCTCTTCCTGAGACCATCATCTGTGAACTATCCTTAAATATCACATTTCAATTCTTACTATGTTACAGAACCCCTGACTATGACATCGAACATGTAAAAATAAGCTAAATTCACTACTAACATGGGCAACATCCTGCCCGTACACTTTTATCTTTCTTGGTGACTTCAATCTACCTCACATTAACTGGACCCTAAACAAATGTAAAACTGAACCCATACATGCAAACTTCTACAATGCTGTAACAAACCTGAGACTGGAACAACTAGTAACCAACAACACTAGACTAAACAACTGCCTCGATCTCATCTTCTGCAATAGTTTGAATTCAATTTACAGAATATAAACTAAAGAACTCTTTTCCAGTGACCACAGCATGATTGACTTCTGTCTCAACATATGTCCACACAAAAATCAACATAACGATGTGATCCCCAATTATAACTTCAAAAAAGGCAGCTATGATCTTATAGACACCAATCTCTTATCTCTTGATTGGGAATTTCTATTCACTGGATGCAATACTGTTGAAGACCATTACAACATATTTTTACTTGAAGTCAAAAGAGTCATCAAACTATATGTACCAATAACAACTCCAAAAACCTGAGAAAACAGATTACCCATAACAATAAGGAAGCTTCAATCAAAAAAGAGATCACTTTGGTGGAAAAACAAATCTGGTCACGTTGCCAACTTCAAAAGCCGATACAAAAACGTATGCCACCAGATAAAGACTGAATGCACCAATTAGCACATTAAATAAGAGGAAAACCTTCTATGCACCAATTTCACCCATGCTTTTTACAATTTTGTAAACAACAAACTAAAAGACTCAAGGTCCATCCCATCCCTGAAAGGACCTAATGGTAAAGATTGCAATGATGACACCATTAAAGCCAACTTCTTTAACACATTCTTTGGCTCAGTATTTGTAAACAGCAATGGATCATGCCCAGTATTTCCTAGTCAAACCACAGAAAACTACAATGATCTAATACATACCAATTTTACAGAAGACAATGTTGAAAAAGCACTATGCAATCTAAAACCATCTCTATCTATTGGACCGGATAGAATATGTGCCTACTTCTTAAAAAAGCTGTCCACTGCCATTATGCACCTCTAAGCATAATCTTTGAAAAATCTTTCAGGACCAGCTCCTTGCCAAAACTATAGTCACAAGCCAGGGTCATACCCATCTTCAAAAAGGGAGACCCCAGCCTAGTTGAAAATTACAGACCAATCTCTTTATGCTGCATCATCTGTAAAGTCATGGAATCAATTATTAACCAATCCACCATCCTCCACTTAGAGACAAACAACCTACTCTCTAATAAACAATTTGGTTTCAGAAAAAAACTATCCTGCAATCTGCAACTCTTACACTGCAAAAACATATGGACTACACAACTCAATCAGGGCAAAGCAATAGATGCAATCTTCATAGACTTCTGTAAAGCCTGTAAAGTGGTACACAACAAACTACTCCTAAAACTAAAATCTTATGGTAATCACTGGACACCTGCATAACTGGATAGAAGCATTGCTGTCAAACAGACAACAAATGGTCAAAATTGGGAGCGTTCTATCAAATTTTGTACCTGTCAATAGTGGTGTCCCCCAAGGCAGTGTTCTAGGACCAACTCTCTTCATACTCTACATAAATGACCTCTGTGATCATATTAAGAGCAACTGCCTTCTCTTCGCTGACAATGTAAAACTATTCAACACCACAGACAATACTGCTATGCTTCAAAAGGTAAAAGTATCAATCATGTAGCTTAATGGCATTTTTATTGAAATAATTCACATTGCCTTACTCTAGATAATCTTCTACTTCCCAATCTAGTCTACAGCTCTCAGTTTTCTTATGTAATATGAAAATGTGGAAACAAAATATTCTAAAGTCCCACTAAGATAGCTGAGACCTGAGAAGAAACTTTGAGCAGTATGGTCAATGTAAGATCTATAAGCCATCACAATCCTAAACTGCATTAACAGAGAGATGCAATCAAGATCAAGTGAGGTACTAATACAACTCTATAAAGCCTTAGTAAGATCACATATAGAGTACTGCATCCAGTTTATAAAAAAGATGTTGAGACTCTAGAAAAAGTACAGAGAAGAGCAACCAGGAGGGTTAGGGGATTGGAGACTAAAACATATGAAGAACAGTTACAGGAATTAGGCTTGGCTAGTCTAGTGAAGAGAAGGACCAGGGGAGACATAATAGTGGTCTTCCAATATTTGAAGGGCTGCCACAGAGAGGAAGCTATTTTCTAAATAGCTGTAGGCCAGACAAGAAATAAAGGATGGAAACTGAACAAGGACAGATTCAACCTGGAAATAAAGGCAAACTTTCTGACAGTGAGAACAATCTTACAATAGAACAACTTGCCCTCAGAAGTTGTGGGTGCACCATTACTTGAGACTTTCAGGAAGAGATTGGAATGGTGTAGGGTCTCCTGCTTGGGCTGGGGGTTGGACTAGATGACCTATAATGTCCCTTCCAACTCTGATTATCTATTATCTGCCATGTGTTAGCAACCAGATAGTTACTATTATTTCATGAGACCTCAAAAAACATTTCTAATCCACTGGATCATATCAACACAGTCTTCTGAACTATTATTTTATCTTATAAAGATGTAATGGAGCTCTCATTATTGTATATGCTTTTCATCCACAAAAACATATACAATAATAAAATTGTGGGGTCCTTAATATCTGAAAATACTCATTTAGAGTCTGGCTAAAACTGTCCGTGCTTTTCAGAAACCCTGATTGCAAATAGAGATGGTTAAAAACTGATGCAAAACCTTGTAATATTCTCTGCTTAATTTACACAACACCCCAAAGAGTCTTTTTATTTTGTAGTTTCTAACCACATCAAGAAATGAAAGAAAAGGAAAAAGAATTACTTACAGAGGTGGCATAAATGACTTCTGTGAAGGATGCTCACCAAACAAATGTTCCTCAAGTACATATATAACTTGAGCTGTAATCCCACCAATGAGCAGGTTTCCTGGAGTATGCCATTCATGAAGGATAGGACAAGGATCACTTATTTGGCAAGGTATGGCATTCATCTGGCACTTCATGTCAACCGTCAACCATAATGTGAGCACTATCCACAACATTTTCTCCAGTGGCTCCTTATTTGTGCCTATCCACAATTACACCACTGCATATGTGTGACGATGACACAGTGTTTAAAGTGTGCAATACTGCAAGGCTGCCTGCAATTTGGCAGCTCAAATCCCACCAGGCTCAAGGTTGACTCAGTCTTCCATCCTTCCAAGGTGGGTAAAATGAAATTGTTGGGGACAATAGGCTGACTCTGTAAACCACTTAGAGAGGGCTGTAAAGCACTGTGAAGCAGTATGTAAGTCTACGTGCTGTTGCTATATGGTGAAATTATTTTTCATCAAGTAGAAATTTTCAGAACTCATTCAACCAACACATGTAATTGCATCAGTTCTCTCATTCCTTGGGTTGATATCAACAAGGTGAGCAAAGCATGTCTGATAGGTAAGCACATTCCAGTGAATAGAAATCACCACCAGAATCTAAAGGGACAAGATTCTTCCTTTTCCTTAACTGCAGAAGTGAAACGTTTTATAATCTCTTTGAATTATTTCTGAGTATTCTGTGGAAAGCTTCTAAAGCTGTGTCATAAAGCATCAATGATAATCATTTAGCTTAATTGCCTAATAAATAGCCCCCTCTACCAAATGGAACCTCCTGGGTTTGTGGAGCTATTAATTGCCTTCCACATTACACCATTGGAGAGAATCATCTTAGATTTTTAAGGAGATACCATACAAAATAATTCTATATAATTCTTTCTGTAAACTTAATCATTACCCATGGGATTCTTCCCAAAACTTATAATTGAAATCTCTACCTTCTCTGAATGTATCTCTTTTGGCAACTATTGATGACAATAAACTACAAAGGGTATCATTGAGGGTGTGTTCTATGGAGTCTTTACTCTTTTTTTGTAAAAAAAATATTGATATACAGCTTCAATACATCATACAATAATAGATGTCATCCACTTAATTCCTCTATACCTTAATTAAATGTTGATCTTTGAACATTCTTTCAAGGTGAACTGTATTGTCTGTGATAAACTCTTAGAAGTATTTCATATAACAAACATGGTAGGTTTAAACATATCTCATCTAATGATTCCCACAGAATAGACTACATTTAAAAACTTCCTTTTTATGACCTTGTAATTCCTTAATTCAGGGTAGAGTCAGGATGACTGTATGGAGCTAAGAATTTACCGACGAGATCCCTTTCCTGACACCACATGGAGTTCACAGCAGATATTTTTTCTTTGTGCCCTAGGAGAAAAATATCTGCTGCTAGCTAGAATTGAACTCTTAGCTTTCACTAGTAGACCATCATGCCACTCATAAAATATAGACTACATTGACTAATCAAAACATATTGGTCAGAACAACCAACATAATGACCTCTATCTGTTATTTTTTTAATGATATATTTTTTATTTTATGCAAACAGTCCATCTTTCATTAAACAGTATGTTATCTGGGTATAAATGTCTTGTGCAATAACAATTACAATTAATACATATTCATTACTATAATACAGAGGTGGTATTCAACTGGTTTGCTGGTTCAGGCAAAGTGGTAGTGGTGATTTGGCGTGGGTCATCACACCGGTGGCAACCCCTGGCTGGCCATGCCCCTGACCTGGTCACCCAGTTGCTCACTTGCCCCAGTTGCTCTCCTAGCTTTCCCTACCTTGTGCGGCCATGGCACAGCATGGGAGGATGTCCCAGGGCTGCTGCACATATGCACTGTGTGTGCAGCTGCTACACATGCAGTGTTTATGTGCAGCAGCCCCAGAACATCCACCTGCCTGCCCACCCTCCCAGAGCACATTTTCTTTCTTCTCCTGGTGGACACACCTCTTCCAGCTCGGCCTGACCCAGCCTAGCCAGCAGGTGGGTGAGCAGATATCCTGGGGCTTCTCACCCATTTTGTCATGAGATGCCTGCAGCTGCTACGTGCTTTTTTCGGTGCGGCTGCAGCCCAGCAGCCACATCGAAAAAAAGCTTGCCCTGTTCTATCTGCCAGGCCCAGCAAGTCCAAGCAGATGGCACATAGAACAGGGTGGCACAGACCATTGGAGAAGTGAAGTGAAGCTGGAGATCAGTAGCCACCTCTTTCACAGCATAGAAATCCTCCCCGAATTGGCCAGCTAGTCGTCTCCATCTCTGCTTATTTGTTTTGTATGGCTGAGGAGGAGGAGACCAGCTGGCTGATTTGGGGAGGATTTCTGTGCTGAAAAGGTGACTGGAGACTAAAAAACAGTCACCTCCAGCAGCTGCCCCTTTGGCCAGCTGATCTCCTCCTCCTCGGCCATACAAAATAAACAGGTAGAGAAAGAGAAGACCAGCTGGCCAATTTGGGGAGGATTTCTGTGCTGCAAAAGAGGTTGCTACTTATCTCTGTCTCCGCTCCGCTTCTCCAACGGTCCAGTGCAGCCTTGTTCCATGTGCTGGCTGCTCAGACTTGCCAGGCCCAGCAAATAGAACAGGGCATGCTTTTTTTCAGTGAGGCTGCTGGATTGCAGCCGCACTGAAAAAAAACACAGCCACTGCAGGCACCTCATAACAAGAGATGCGAGAAGCCCTGGGCCATGTGGTCACCTGCTGGCTGGCTGGGCTGGGCTGGAAGAGGTGCACCTGCCAGGAGAAGAAAGAAAGCATGCTCCGGGACTGGGAGGGCAGGCACCGCGCAAGAGGGTGGATTTTCTGGGACCACTTAAAGGTCAACTTTAAGAGCAACCCCATGGAAGAAGCCAAGAAATGAGAGCAGCCGTAGTGGCAGCAGGGGTGACAGGCTGTGTGTCCCTCCACAAGGAGTGTGAAAGGAGGCAGATACACGGAAGGAAAAGAGGAGCCCTGGCTGTCACCCAGGAGGGGACTGTGGAGGGACCCATCACATACCTCTGTCATCCCCGCCGACACTACTTTTGCTCTCATTCTTGGCTTCTTCCATGGGGGCTCTCTTAAAGTCAATATTTAAGAGCTGGAAGACATTTTGTTAGATCACCTCCAATTCATCATTGGGAAAGGTGTAGCCCCTGAATTCATGAGAAGTCTTGGGCAAAGTTCTCTGACTTTTGAAATGCATCTGCGTGTTGTCTGCCTCCCTTCATGCTTGCCAGGAGCACCTAACTGGAACAAGAGAGAGCAAAGTTGACTGCTATGAGGTGAGCGCCTTGGCTTCCCCTCTTACTCCCCACAGTCACCCTGAGCTGGTGAGGTTTTTTACTTGAGCAAACAGACAGCCACAGCGGCGCCAACAGCAGCAACAGGCAGTGCCGCAACAATGTGGTACAGTAACATTTGGTGGTGCAAATTTATCTCCAAGGGTCAAAAAACAAAACAAAAACCACAAAAACCACCCCAAAATAAAACCCATTGGGCAGGCAGACTCGGCAGGCAGTTGTGATCTTTACTTGGGCTTTTTTTCTTTGTCAGCTCAAGGGTGGAGGAGGGGAGGGAAGGTAGGAAATCACCCTGTCTCTGCAGCATCAGTCATATGACTAAGTGGACGTGGCCAACTCGACATCACTTACAGCAAGGTGCCGCATCACCTTGCCATACCACCTTGCTGAGTTGGCCATGCCTACCCAGTCACATGACCACCAAGCCACGCCCAGCAAACAAGCCATGCCCACAGAACTGGTAGTAAAAAATGTTGAATCCCACCACTGCTATAATACTAATACTCTATTCTTACTTTATACTACTATGCATAATATATCTAATTATTATAGCAATCCCCTTCTTGGCATAATGAATTCTTATTCAGATGTGTACTATTTTTTGCTAGTCTTCTTTAATTTCTAATTTCCATTTTTATTCTAATTTCCATATTTTATATAGCCATTGATAAAATAGTTCCCATATCATATAGTATTCAGTTTGTTCCTTTTCTTTAATTGCTAGTGTTAGCCTGTTCATCTCTGCATATTCTAATATTTTCCTGATCACATTCTCATCTGTTGGAATCTTTTTACTTTTCCAATTTTGTGCAAATACAATTTTTGTCATGGTTAATATATGAATGATTAAATATGCCTTTTCTTTAATATATTTCAGGTATTATCCCCAAAAGAAATATTTCAGGTTTTAAATCAATATGTTGCTGTATCATCTTTTCCAACCACGTGTGTATTGTGACCACCACCTATGGTAATATGATCCTGGTGTCTGATGACATTCCCAGCATTTAGCTGATTTATGTTTGAATATTCTTGCCAGTCTTGCTAGTGCAAAATACCATCTATAAAACATCTTATACAAGTTTTCTTTATATGCAGTTGACATTGTTAATTTATAATTTCTCTCCCACAGTTTCTGCTATTTGTCTACTTCTATGGTATAACCAAAATGTTTTGCCCATGCTGTCATTGTCTCTTTCACTTTTTCTTCTTCCAATTTAATACCCAATAAATAACTACAGTTTTTTAATCAGTTTTTCTTCTGTTCCCGTTAGTATTTTATCCAATTCTGTCAATTCTTTAGAGAAACCCACTAGTTTAGCATATTTTTCATATCTAGACTGTATTTACACATATGAATACCAAAACATATCAATCCCTTGCTCATTTATTTCTTGTTTACTTTTTTTAAAAAACAAATTTTATTAATTTTTTAAAAACAATACACAAACAAACAGAACATAGGATGTAATAACATAAAATATCTTTTCTGGAAAATAAAATATCTCATTTAGAAACAAGATAATTCTGAATTATAATGTATATATTTATCTTATCTGTTCAAATTCATATCTTCTTCCGACTCCTCTTTATTTCTCCCTTTCCTTCTATTTGATTGTATTTCCTTTGCCTTAGATTGTATATATTCATTGTATAGAATTTCATTAGTTCTCTTCTAACATCCTTAATTCAAGCATAGACAAACATAACACAAAACATAAATACATAAAACTTCTTTTTGGAAAGCGGCTTACCCCGGGATACATATTTTTGTACAGACATAAATCAAATTCATGCTCACTTAATATACTATTTCATATCTTATTTAACTTTCTTTTTTTTCTGTATATTTTCTCTCATCTATTCACTCTCTTAATTCTATATAATTTATTTCATCTCAATTTAGATAATTATACTTGCATCTTTTGTCCATCTCTTTCAATTATCTATTTATCTTTTCTTTCTAATACAATATTTCCCCTGTAAACACTGATTGAAGTATGACAACTTTCTATCTTTCCCCTAAATTTAAAACTTAGAATAATACATACTTTTCATACTGATTCTGCTTAGTACATTCTAAATACTACATTTCAAAATAATAAAGCAAGCAAAAAATATTAAATTTAATAAGTACTACATTTTAGAGTAATAAAACAAAAAAAGAGAATATTAAGTTTATAATATAATAAGAACAAGGTTTCATGGGAAGTTAAACTCTATTTTTAAATCTTAAACATTTTTATAACTTCTCTTTAATGCATTACTAACTCATATAATATTTTAATTTTCTAACTCAGTTTCAAATACTAATATCTACCATACAATCTTATGTACTTTTGCAGAATCATTTTTATTAGATTATATTTTACCCTTTATCTCTAAAAAAACACCTGTTTTGTAACATCTTGTTTAAAACCTTCATGACTTCTCTTTTCTTTTTCCCTTCCTTTCTTATCAATTCTAGCTTTTTGCCCCCCCATCTCTCAAATTTCACTCTCTTAATCCACCCTCTCTGTTGTTTTTCTCTTTTCTGTTGCTTTCTGACATCATATTGATTTTTCATCTTATTTTTCCTTTTCTTGGTTGCTTTTTTAAATCCTGGATTCTCCATTTTCATCCCCTTTCTCTTTTCTTCCTCCACTAAGAGTATTTGTCTATTCTTCTTCTTCTTCATCCCAGCCTTCTTCTTGTTGTATTTCTTGATAGGTAGAAATCGCCATTTTTAAAAAATGGAAAATAGATCCAGAAGAGCCCTTGCCTTCTTGTTCTTCTTTCAACTTTTGAAATTCCATTTGTAATTCTTCAAAAAATAATGCCATTTTTTAAAAACAACCCAAATGTTTTTAATCTTCAAGAAATAGTTCACAAAAATCCCAAAGTCACAAAGCAATCCAAATCAGAACAAACAGTTTCATTTAGCACTTTCTTCTTTCTATTTTTCCTCTTCCTGGGGTTGAATTCAAATACACAGTTCCAAAGTAATTTTCTAGAAATCGTATGTCTTTTATTTCTGATCTTATAATATCTTATAAACTCTATGCAGTCTCCTTAAGTACAATCTTAAAATAAGTTCTTTACCTCTTCCCTTCCACTTATAGCAAAAAAAAAAAGATTTTTTAAATTTTTAATTCCAATATTCAGAAATCTTTTATCCCCTTGGCTTTAAGTTTCAAGTTAAATACCTTCTATGCCCAAGCAGGTTTCCAGATTTCCTTCTGCTATTTCCATGGAGAGGGAGAGTGAAAGAAAATAACTTTCCCTTTCCAATTTTCTTCCGCCGCTTTTACTGTCTCCTTTGGAGACAATGTATGCTTCAAATGATTAAGTTTCCAGGGTGTTTAGAAGTTCCTTGTTGTCCCGGTTCAGCCAAAACTTTCACTTTCTCCAACTTCCTCCTGCACAAATTCTTACCTGGCTGCAGGCTTCTTTGTGGCACCCATTGCTGACCGCCGCTCCACTGCCTTGGGAAAAAGGGGTTTTGCTGGCTGAGAAGGGGGTTTGCGATACCTCCAAGCCCCTATCCGGATCCCCTCTCTCTTCGGTTGTCTCTACGGGACAACCATATCCTCCAAATCCATCTGGATCAGAGGAACTTGGGCAGCGAGTACAGCGGGAACTGCGTATGATCACAGATTCCTGCCGCCGCCGAATCCTTGCAAAACCGGACACCAGTTTTTGTTTACTTTTGAGCTCACCCTTTTCATTCAAAATATCTTTTATCCAACAATATTTCCCATATTAATAATATTTGGATGAATAAGTACTTCCATTGTCGAAAGCCAAACTGGTGTCTTCAAATAGTGCTGTTCTCTAATTTTCTCCCATATTAACAATAAAGCATTTCTTATATAATGTCTTTGAAAGTAACCATGTATCTTATTTTTCCCACACCATAAAAAGGCATGCGAACCCAGTTGCAAATCATGCCACTCCAAAGTCAAGAATCTTGTGTTCCTCAATACAATCCATTCTTTCATCCATATTAACACCATAGCCTGGTAGTATAATTCCAAATTAGATAATCCAAACCTTCCTCTAGTCCTTGTGTACTGTAACATTTTTAAAGTAAATCTTGCTTTTTTCCCCGTGCCAAATATACTTTAGTATTATTTTATTAAGATATTCAAATAATTTTTTCCCAATTTTATTGGCATCACATTGTTGTCACAAGACATATAGCAACTTTTTCCCCTTAACTAAACTGGGGGTAGGAATGGATTGCGCATAACACACCTGACCTGCAGGCCATGAATTTGACACCCCAGCATTAGACAGGAAAAGAATTTACTTTCCATTTCCATTCATTTCACACACACAGTTTATACATACCAGGAATAAATAATACTGGTAAACTTGAAAGTTATAATAAGCAACACCTATTTTTAAATGTATATAACCATGATTCAATAGACAGAAATGCTTTTTCTTTACAAGTTGACCTTTGTTGTTGAGCTCAGGTTTCAGCAAAATAATGTAACATTTGGGGGAAAAGATACATCCCAATAAACCAGCACTAGAAGCTAAGATGAAGAAGATCTCCACAGCTACCATATACTTTCCTTTGGTGCTCAAATAGGTGGGAACAAAAGATAACCAAACACTACAAAACATCAACATGCTAAAAGTGATGAACTTGGCTTCATTGAATGTGTCTGGCAGGTTCCTAGCTAGGAAAGCCACCACAAAGCTGACTAAAGACAGAAACCCCATATAGGCCAAGACAAGATAAAACATCACAACAGACCCTTCATTACATTCTGCTATGATCTCTTCAATCATGGATTGCATGTTAAGTTCTGGAAAGGGGGGAGAAGTGATCATCCATGCCAAACAAATACTTGCTTGAATGAAGGAGCAGAAAAGAACAATTAAGATGGACAGTTTTTTCCCCAACCATTTTCTCATGCCGGAACCTGGTTTGGTGGCCATGAATGCAGCAATGACCGTGATGGTTTTGGCCAACACAGAAGAAATGGCCACAGAGAAGATAAAGCCAAAGACTGATTGTCGGAGGAAGCAAATCAGTTGGAGAGGTTTTCCAAGGAAGATAAAAGAACAAAGGAAGCAAAGGAGAAGGGAGATGAGAAGAGTGTAGGTGAGGTCCTTGTTGTTAGCTTTAACAATAGGGTTGTCCTTATTCTTGATAAATATTCCAAGTATGAGCATGGTAATAATTGAAAATAATACAACAATCAGAGTTAAACTAATTCCTAAAGGTTCTTCATAAGTTAGGAAAATTATGATTTTTGGGATGCATCGAACTTTGTCCTTACTTGGATATTGATCCGCTAGACATTCGGAACAGGCAATCATATCTGTAAGTAAGAGAGAAAGAATTGAATTTAATTCTCCTGATTGCTGTAGCACCAAGTGAAATATATAATTATATTACATCAGAACAGTGCTTTTACTAACTTGCCCACTTTAAGAAGTATGGACTTTAATTCTCAGAATTATGGATGAGGAATTTTGGGACTAAAGGTCCAAAGGTGCCAAAAATGACTTATTTGGTCCAAAGGACCAAAATTGACTTATTGAAGTGGGAATCTTCTCTATTAGTAATAATTTTGGTCAAACATCACCACACTTAAAATATGCCAGAAGCTTCATAAAGACCTATTCCTTCAAGCTCTCTGTGTCCACCATTAGGAATTGATGTATATGAGCAATAGTGTCCACCAGTCTGCAGTATTGTCTGAGATGCTACACATCCTCTTCATGACCTGATATATGGATGGATGGATAGATAGATAGATAGATAGATAGATAGATAGATAGATAGATAGATATGGATATAAATGTAGATAGGCCCAATGTCTGATTTTTTTCAAGATAGACCATCCTATCCTTGAATGGGTGGGTGGCCTGGACATTAACATTTGAACCATTATAAGTCCACATATTTGCCATACGCTAAATAAATAAAACATCTACATTTATATCTACATCTATCTATCTATCTATCTATCTATCTATCCATCCATCTATCCATCCATCCATCCATATATCAGGTCATGAAGAGGATGTGTAGCATCTCAGACAATACTGCAGACTGGTGGACACTATTGCTCATATACATCAATTCCTAATG